GCAGTGAAACATGCTGAGTCCATTATTTAGAGTACAGGGCCCGGTTGTTCAAAACTCGGTTATCTTTTAACCAGCCGTTAAGTACATTTAACCGACCGTTAACTAATAACAGAGGGTTATCTTGTTGTTCAAAACTCTGTTAACTTTAAACAGGTTGTTAAGATCAAAATGACAGACTTGAGCAATTTTTAGACTTAAGTCACTTTCATGATGCCGGGGCCAGAGGCGTGGATGGGCTTCTCATAAACCAAACCAGTCGCATCTCTCAGAACCTCAGGAACTGTCTCTCCAAGATAAGATTCCGGCCATGACTCCAGTTCATCCAAAACACATTTTGAATATTCAAATGACTTTCACAATGCAAATACTTGCAACACCAAGGAACAGGATTACCCTACTATAATTTCTACTCAGTCGCCTGTACACATTTCTACTTCAGTAACTGATACAGTAACCTCAGGATGCTGATGTAGATCAACATACTGCCTGCAGTAAAACAGCAAGTAATGAAATGGCCACAATATGTACATGGAGCATACATGGCTTTAAATCAAAAGTTAAGCATACTGAATTTATAGATTTTTGTAAACATTTTGATATATTTTGTTTACTTGAAACAATGTGTTCTGATTCATCAAATGAGTTGCAGACTATATCTTTCATGAATACGATATCTTTGTCAGCAATGCTAAACGTTCTGGAAACACAGGCCGGTTTTCAGGGGGAATTGCTGTTTGTATAAACAAATGAATATCTTCTTATTTTGAAAGAGTTTACTGCCAGTGGGAAAACATACTTTATTCTTCAGATGCACAAATGAGCAGTTACCCTTCCACCTGATCCTGTTATTTGCATACATCCACCTTGAACATTCTCCTGTCTACCACAAAGAGGAGCCTAACGGTATACACAAGTTGACCACTAAGACCAACTTAGTCAAATCATGTTTGACTATGGAGAAAACTGTAAATTCATTATCAGTGGTGATTTTAATGCAAGGACAGGGAACGAAATTGATTACATTACTGATGATGAAACAGAATATATACCTGTCGATCAAGACTACAGTAGAGAATCATGTGATACAGTCGATAATAACTTTGGTAGATGCTTATTAGATATGTGTAAATTGATGGCTTTTCATATTGTAAATGGACGATTTGATGGTGATAATGTGGGTGATTTTACGTTTGTTTCACACACCAAGTGTAGCACAGTGGACTACTTTATTATTTCTTCTGATTTGTGCTCTGATGTTATTAATTTGTCTGTTCAAAGTAGAACAGAAAGTGACCATTTGCCAGTGTTATGTTCAATAAAAAAATATTTTTAGTTCTTATACAGAGAGAGGGAATCCTGTAGATGAGATACAGATTCCTATTTCAATTACAACTGTTCCCAAATATCGTTTGACAAGTGAAAAAATACCTGATTATATAAGACACATTTCAAGTAATGAGTGCACTCATATGTTTGCAGAATTTTGTTCTTCATTACAAATTGATGTTAATATTGCTGTTGGAAAGTTATCAGATATACTTATTTATTGTGGAGAAAAGGCAGGAGAAGTATAGACAATGAAGGTACGGGACCAGGCCCTCCCAAGGGCTCAATTTTAAAAAATGAGCCCTTGGGAAGGCCCTAATCCCGTACCATCATTGTCTATACTACTACTGAGTTGCATGCAAAATTTGACGAAAGTCGGTAGAATAGTTTCTGAAATATTGACTTTTAAGTGAGCCTGAGGTCGGTCGGGGAAAAATCAAGGCCTTTGATTCACACACACAATTATGACAATTATCATACAGTGGGCGATCTAAAAGGGACTGTGTCGTGAGGTACGATCATCAACTCCTCTCTGACGAATGCTCTCAGCGGTCCGTCTTTCAAGTAGTACAAGTTCGGTTCGCCGTCTTTGATGTCGACCAGGTCTACGTTGTACGTTTTTATTGACCATATCGGATCGGTGGCGCGTTTTCTGCTGTCTCCCTCATATTCTCCCGGCTGGTACAAGTACCTTACGCTGACCTGGTCCGGTAATGTTTTCTCTGTTGCATCGCAACTTGCCGCTGACGACGATGATTCGACAGATTTCATTTTGATGGCTTCGACGAGCCTCTTGCCCACGAGTCTGGTGACTTCGTTGTTGATGGCATCCACCACTTGAGGTAACGTACGACCCATTCCGTGTTTCTGTTTTTGGGATCCATTAAATCCCGTGAGTACTGGTGTGAGAACAGGCATTCGGCTTAGGTGCGATTGAATCTCTCGATTATGGCTTGGCTACGGTGAGCTCCCGCTATACCTCGTCTCACTTGGCTGCGACACGGCTCCCATGAACTCGCGTCCAGGATCGACTTGCAATACGGTAGGCCATGTCAAACGACTGCGTTTGTATATGCGTTCAAAGGCTTTGGCAACTTCATTCCAATGTTTCGTTGTCAACGGTTCGGCTTCCTTGTAGCGACTGGCCACGTCGACAACGGTGCGTTGCGTACTTGGGATTAGCGTCTCACCCTGCCGTGAGTGTGAAACAGGAGGTCGGCTTGGTGAATGCGCTTCGGCGTTGAAATGGCACATTTTCTTCTCGGGATGTACTGAGGCGCCGGCAGGTAGACTTGCCAGATGGCTTGTTTTTCAAGTCAAGCTTTGGCGAGGTCTTCCGAGACTCAACGGCTTTGGCGAGTTTCGGGATGGCGTCCGCGCCTTTCCAGTACCCGCGCGGGCTTTAATATATTTTCTTCATGATGTATGTACGCATGTGTGTGTGAGCGCTCAAGTATTCGATACATGTTTGTGCCCGTATGCATAAGTGGTGACTCCGTCAATGGCAATCCATCGGTTTGTGTCCATGGGAGACAGTGATGTCTTGTTGATTCTCAGTCCATATATCCTGTGTCCGTCGCTTCTCAGCATGTTCATTTGGTGTTTGAACGTTTTATTCTTGAACAGAGCTTCCTTGAATCTTTCTTGGGTCTCAAGCCGGCGTACTCAGCGATCGGCGTGCCAACGCATTCATCCCTCATCTTGCCAAGCACTTTTTGTTGACTTGGCTGTGCATAGGGTGATATTTAGGGTAGTCGCTGGTGTCGCACAGGTGCATGCATTGCTTAATGTCCTCGTACACGTCCTCGGTGTAAATTTCCATGAGAAGGGAATCCGTGTCCATGTACAACACTTCGCACCTATCGCCGTACTGCTTTTTCAGCTCGTTGTAGTAGAAATCGTACATCAAGTGTTTGGATAAGTCCGAGGATGCTCATCCCCACGTAAATGGGCCAACTGAATTTGATGTGGCTTTTGTTCATGTGCAGTGCCGCCAAGTCGTCACCGAATATCTTGCTTCGATTGAACGCCGGGCTGGCTATGAGTTTTTCTTCCTCGCTGGATCTGACTAATTTCACGTTAACACGTTTTCTCAAATTCTCCATCGTCTTGCCGAACACTGTGTTGTTCATGAGTTTGTACAAGTTTTTCTCGAAATCGCTGGTGGCCAGCTTTTGCAAGTCCGTGTTCATTTGGATGTAAGGCTGCATCCACGGACTTTGATCGAACTCGAGCGCCCTGTGTATTTGTTCGAGTTTCATTCCCAGCGACAAGTTTGCTGCAGATTGCGATAGTGAACGACGTATTTTGACTTGTTCATCAAGTTCGGCATGAGTTTTTCAACGTTAGCCGGCTTATTGTCTCCGAGCAAGTTTCGTTGATATTCAGACATCCAGTCCGTGTTCACCATCAATCGTTCGGGAGCTAGCGGATAGCTGTTGTGTGATTCGTGTAGTTCTGCGGGATAGTCCAAGTCCACTTCGAGCACGTAGCTTTTGTTAGAATCCGGCGCAATGCTATTCACATCGACTATCTCGGGTGAAGAGACCCATTCGAATCCCCTGGTGGGGAGATACTGTCTCATGGCCCAGCCGTACAGGTTGTTGGCGTCGAGATAGAGTATGTGTTTGGTCGGTTTGCCTGGGCTGTGACCAGGAACGTACTTGTTGTTGGCTTTGGCGAATCGCTTTGAGGCCATAGAAATCCCGCCTCGCGAGCCTTTTTCCACGAACAAGTGCATGTCGTAATCCGTTAACAATTCTAATTTAACTCTAGTCATTTTCAACAAGGCATCCCAAGAGAGACCGGGGAATGAGAAAAAACACGTGGGGTCCAGGCCATACTGTTTCGAGCACGTTTTTCTGAATATCTCGAACATGTCGGCCAGCAGCAGGACGTCCGTTTTCAATCGCCCAAATTCTTGCAGCCCACTTTGTCCCACACGTTAATTGCATGCGCATAATCATCCAGGGTGATGGCTGAGTCAGTCAAGTTGCTGTAAAATTGGTTGAGGCAATCGCGGCTCGTCGAAATTGGACCAATCATCCATGTACTCGTAGGGGTAGACGCCTTCCTCAGCAGCAGGGGTGGAGTCTCGGCGTCGGTGTATAGATTGCTGATGTTGAAGTCATCCGGGTCGTTGGCCTTCACCAGACAGTCTAGACGACAGCAGGTACTGAACGCTGTCGATACATCTCAGACTAACGAGAACGAGATGTATTTTTCCATGTTGTTGGGGATGCACGTTATGTTGCCGTTGACCTTCGCGATGGCCTGCATGATCAGGTGAGAATCTTACCTGCAAAGGTTGTGAAACACGACGGGGATTTTGATGGTTTGGGGGTCGATTTTGAGCTTCAGGTTGCATCGCTGTGAGCTGCACCTCTGTACTTGCCGGGTGATGTGCAGTGATCTTCACGGAATTCTGCGACATGGGTTCGGCCGCGACATCGGGCAATTTTTAGCCTTCTTGTGAGTGAGTTTATCCTTCAACGCCATGTGTATGAGAGCAGGATCTGACAACTCTTTCTGATTTTATCTCTTAGTGTTGTAAGAACGCGAGAAATGTTTTCGTACCTTGGTAGACCATGGGAGTGTTCGCTTTGTCCGTCGTGATCGAATCTTAATTATTGATAACCGAACCCGCAGGCTTTGTGCCTCTTACGCTTTTGTGCTTGAAACTTTTGTCCGGGATCGGCGGAGCGAACGGTGCCCACGTTTTGATGAGGGCTTTGATGAGGGCTCAAGTCAGTGAAGATGACGAAGCGTACGGACATTTGATGCTTGTGGTTGATGAATTTCAAGACGCTTGTCTTTTTCAAGGCGCGATGTCGATTCTGACGGCAGTCTCGTCCCACGCCGCAATCCTCCCGCTAAGTATTCCAGCACGCCGGCTCGCTGTAGCCGCGCAGTATGACAGCATTCGCAGTGTTTTTCCTGGCGGGTTCGATTGATCATACAACAGTCTGCTGAAACTTTTAATCGTTGCGGTGGTTGTGGTACTTGTCTTTTTTCTTGATCAGAAATAAATTGGCCCTTCACACGGTTTTATCAAGGACAGGGCTTATCCTGTGCACAAAAGTTGTGTTCCCTACGTGTCCGAAGACTTTAATACCCAGATTGGTTTGTTTTTCCACTCGAGCGATTTGTGAGATGGGAGTAGGCATGTCTGTCCCCATAAAGTTGAGGCCAAATTCCTCGATGGAGGAATAGTTGGAAAGTCTGTCTGTATGATGGGCAGCCGGATGCAAGTCGGCTATGATCGCCACCGGTAAACAGTCGTCGCCTTTGTTTTTGACGTTGACCATGGCTTCTTTTCCTTGTAGTACAGTGGGAGGTCCAGGTACGACCCTCCTTTGAATGGCAGGTAGTTCGCTATGTCCAGGTAGACCCGAACCCATTTGCGTAAAGCATTCCAGGGATTCTCGTATTTTTGCAAACGAGGTGTCAATGGACGCGTCAACGGATTCAGGTTGAGTCGCAATTTCCAGTAAGGCTGGATGTGATCGATGGTGCCGTCCATCTGCTATTTTTCGTGCGACATTCTCACTGTGAGTTGAAATTTGATGGTTCCCAGATCAGTCGGTTCCTCGTTGACTTTGTCGGCGATCATGGGTTTGATGTTGTTGACGTCCATGTTTTTGTCGACATCCATCCGCCAGTCTCTCAGATACTTACCTATGGCGTGCTTCGTCCGCACGAACAGTAGTTCGACGGGTTTGTGTTCCTCCAGCAGTTTGAGGAGCTCGGCTTTCCTCATGCGCGAATAACCTCTGAACCCATGTTCTTTCACAGGGAGCTTGAGTTGTTTCACCGTGGGTTCGTCGACGATGCCAAGCAATTCCAACAGCTGAGATTTCCTCAAACGGGAGTAACCGTTCACTCCACGTTTTGGGGCAATCCTTTTCAGTTCTCGAACGGTAATCATCGTTGTTATATCAATGTGTGAAAACCTTTTTCTAAATGAAATCTCTAATAGGTTGTTCGCTATAGTAAGGGGTGAAGTCAAATCTCTAATAGGATTTTCATCCCTATGTTCGGCTGCGAGTCAAAATCTTTAGTAGGTTGTTGGTGTCGTCTCGCTGTTAAATGTTAAACTTTCGACATGCACGTTAGATTTTTATTCTGAGCAGTCGGTTGCGTTCATTGAGGTACCGTTTTCACATTCGTAACCGAAAACCCATAATTTTAAACACAACGATAAACCGAACCATGAAATATAAACCATCCTTTGCATCGACCACATACTTGGTTGCGTGAGATCGGTAGCACTTAATTTATTGTCGCTTTTAGAATAAAACACTCCCGGTTTGTACATATTGAATTGTTATATAGTTTACATATGTTCAATATGTACGCAACGCTTCTGTCTGCTCGCTCAACGATGAAATATTCAAAACCGTGGGAGCCAAACTCAAAATGAACGTCTCAAACGGCATGGTTGTGCTGGTCAACGGAGAAAACACTTTGAGACTCAGCCGGCCTTTGACTAAAATGCTCGGGTTTACGTTCAACGTAATACAACCGAAAACCACCATGACCGGTATGAAATTACCCGAACTCGTTCCGTACTGCGAACTGTGCGCTCATCCTCGATCAGCCGAGCACCTACCGCACAACTTTCTGCAATGAATGACATCTCGACACTGCTGAGAGCTGTGCCGGGTGAAAACAGAAACGCACAACGATGGTAGAACCGAATCGTTTTCGTCGCGGTAGTACAAGAAATTAAGCCAAGGCACCATCACGGAATTAAAAATATCGGTTTTAGACATTAAACATAATCCAGTCAATATAGGATACCTGAGCGTGTCGCTGCACCTACGCAAAAGACAATGACCGACGCTTCGGGTCCGGGAACGACCATGCGAAAATGTCCTACCATCGCGCTCTCCAACCTCGGAGACACGCGCGGATTCGACGAGAATGGAGGGCAAACTGTACGCATTGCAACTGAAAAACAGCATTTACAAACGCGTTGAACTGCCGCCCTCTACTGCTGGTGGTGGTGGCAACGACCAGGCGATTTCGTTGATACCGAAGGAGAGGTCAACAACACTCGGTACGACCTGATACGCAACGATGAGGACGAATGGGCGATAACCCCAGCCTTCCGCGGTAGGCTGTTCCACCTGGACGACTTTGAGACCACGGCCGTCTCCAGAAACACGCAGTACACACTCATCTTCAACGACAACAACAAATGGGTATTAGTGCCATCCCAAATCGACTGGAATCTCAACATCACGTTGGACTCTCCACACGTTTCACGAACAACAAAGATCACTACCTGACAAAAGTCGTGAACAACGGAACGCTGCTCGTGGCTTACATCCCTACACAAAGACAAAGTGTGATCGTCAGCACGTTGAGGCAAAGAATAGCCAACATGCTGTCGAGCAAACCCGGAATGCAAAACGTGGGATTGCAGATGGTGACGGAATTCGACAATCTGCCGGCAAAATCCATGCTGTACATCCAAGTCTACCTCCGCGAACTGCCGTCAGCGCGTAACGTCATCGAAATAGTGAAAGGGATCAAACTCCGCTGGGCCAAACAACAACAATACCAAGTTTGCTCCATTTACGTGCGGGTGAATGATAACGCCTACACCAGTCTGCAGGGAGTCACTGTGACCGTGGAAGACATGATATCGCTCACCAAAATTTTCCTACTCGACAACATATATCTCATGGGTTTGAAGTGCACGTCCTATGAATTATACGATAACCAATTGAAAACTATTTCATGATACATCATATATAAATGAGATGAACCATCATCATCCCAATGTAACGCTAGCCGATCTCGGAGACACACAGGGATTCGATCTGCCCGGCGAGGAAAGCACCTTGTCCTGCACTTTAAAGAAAACATATACGATCGGGTGTCACTAGCAGACTTCAAACAGCCAGACTGGTTGATCGACATGACACTCACCTCAACCCACATATCTATTAAAAGCAATGGTTACGTCTCCAAAATTACGAACAACGGGATCCTTCTCACGTTTTTCACTCCAGAGTTTGATGTACAAGTTTTATGAATACCAGATTCATGTCTCGAATATTTACGTGTACGATAATCTAAACTTTATCAGCCTCAAATACATCGATCGGATATTAACGAAAAACCAATTGAATATTATTTCATAAAAATATATATATATGTACACACACACACACACACACACACACACACACACACAGACAAGATGAGACTGTACCCAGTTGTGGATGAAGTAGCAAAAACACTGGAAACCGTAGATGGGTTTCACTTGTGACAGATATGTGAGATCAAACAACAACTAGAACGTGAACGCAATACGCGGTCTGCATTACAGAAAAAATATCACAGGGCCTTCAATTCCGTGGACAGTGTTGACAGCCTCTGGTTTCAGTCAGCATGGGAATAGGCGTAGCAGGTATCGTGTTATTATCCGCCATCGTGGCCGTACCCGTGGTGCTAGGCATTGAAATAACAGCCGGAGTGGTAGGGTTGATGGGATTGACCCTAAAGTACGTGTCTCGCAGACTGCAACGTAAAGGATTGAAACACGATGAAATTAGAATTCTAGCCTATCGAAGTTAAACACGATAGACGATCATATTTCAACTGTGGTCACCGACTCTAAAATCTCCGAAGAAGAGTTTCGTTTGGTGCTGTCAGAAATCGCAAAATATCACAGAATGAACAAGAGATTCGGACCAAGTCTCGTAAAAACGCCGTCATTTGTGAAGACGAGAATTTTTTTCATAGAACAAGGGAAGCAACAGGCCAAACAAGCCTTCCTTACTAAAACCAAACAAATCATTATCGGAGAAGATTCATGATAAATTGCTTCGCGGACATCAACATCACAGCCGAGTAGACTGCTGAGGAGTAGTGAGCACCCTTGATGATGTCGTGGTGGTTGTAACAATAGGTAACGACAGAAAGATTAAAATAGAAAGATAGAAAGGTGTTTTTTTTTAAAAAGTAGCAAAACATCCCCAGTAGCCACAATTCCCCTAGGGTGAAGTAGAAAGATGGAGGTTGCTCCACTTCTCCCTAGGGGACTTATGTGTCGGCTACCTTTCTCTCACCATGAGAGTGCCCCCAAGTCAGCTGAGCACAGCTGATGCGATCCTGATTCCTTGCTACCACCAACGAAACACACGAAAGTTGCAAGGAACCCACTGAGGCAAATAGTAGTAGTATAGACAATGATAGTACGGGATAAGGGCCTTCCCAAGGGCTCAATTTTGTAAATTGAGCCCTTGGGAGGGCCTGGTCCCGTACCATCATTGTCTATACTACTGCAGGTGCATTATGTATATGGCCAAGAAGAGGTATAGAGAAAAAACAACCGTTGTGGTTTGATGCAGAATGTCTACACTTAAAATCTAAGAAGTAGAAACTCTTAAATAAATTCAGAACTTTTAAATGTGATGAGAATTTAAGAAACTATTTGAATGCAAAATCAGAATATAAGAAGTTATGTACTTTAAAGAAAAACTTATACAAGATGAAATTGAGTAATGAAATAAATGATGCTGCCAAATATGGTGATTGTAAAGAATTCTGGAGAAATATCTGAAGGGCTATGCTGGTGAAAATGATGTAGCACCCGAAGTGTGGTATAAATATTTTAAGGGTTTTTTAAACCCCACAGAAGCAACAAAGTTGAGTGAATTTGATAAATTAGTATCTGACTTTTTAGATTGTCACTCATGCACAGATTGTAATGACTTTCCTTCTACAGATCAACTCTTGTCAAGTGAAATCAGTGAACATGAGATTAAACAAGCATTGAATAAATTAAAGATTGGTAAAGCTCCTGGTATGGATGGAATATCACCTGGATTTCTTATAAGTCAGTTTATAATTCTGTACCTGAAAATATTGTTCAATAAGATTTTGGATACTAGTGTATTTCCAGATGCTTGGAATGTAAGAATGATACTTTCTCCTCAAAAGTCTGGAAACAAATTGGAACCCAGCAATTATGGGGTATATCTATATTAAATGTCACAGGTAAACTGTTTTCTGCTGTACTTGAAAAACGTATCAGAATTTGGCTTGATATACATGATTTACTATCAGAAGCCCAAGCAGGATTTCGACCTAACTATTCAACAGTAGACAATGCATTTGTTCTTCAAGCTTTATGTACTAAATACCTAAGCAGACGAAAGGGGCGTTTTTATTGCGCATTCGCTGATTTTAAAAAGGCTTTTGATTATGTTGATAGGAAGAAAATGCTTTGTTTATTGATTCATAAAAGCTTAAGAGGAAAAATAGCAATTGTATTAAAAAATATGTATGTGTGATTCTCAAAATTCGTGCTATTTCATGTAGGCAAAAATTGTAAATTTTGTTTTCTTGTTTTACTTTGAAATATTGTTGATTACGTTTATAGTATTCTTAATATACAAAACATAAATTATGCAATCTTAATGAGGTTTCATTTTCAATATTTTACGCCTTTTATTAGAAATTTCATGAATTGCGTCACTACCGTCACGAAATTTGTAACGTCATTTGGAAAAGAAAAAAATCCAAAGATGATATTTATTTAATGTACATATATATATTAAAATATCTGGTTTCTGTTTGTGAAAATCGTGCACTGTGTTCTTTGTTATCTCTTTATACCTTTACAAGAATTCATACGACTGAACTTCATTGAGCACAACTGGGTAACGACTATATAACAATAATCCCTATCGAAGATAAGCAATCGGAAGACTATTGCTATGGATATTTATCAATATATACTATCTTCACAGCTCTCATGAGCAGTTTGTTTACATGTCTATTTTTAGACCCATGTGGGTCCGCGATCATGTGACTATTGTTGACATTCGCAACCTCACCGGATAGTGACAATGCATTTGGTGTCACCTAACGAAACAACATCTATTACACACAAATATCTCTATCAGTTTTTCTGAATGCTGTATTTATATACATGACTACCATTTGAGGATGTCAATGATATGCTTTACAGCCGCATGAGTAATACGGTCACTGATCACGTGCTTTGTACCGAATCATGTGACTATTGTTGACATTCGCTACACTGATAGTGACAATGCATTTGATGTCTCCGTTTAATGAAACAGCATGTATTACATATAAATATCGCTATCAATATTAAGATTTGTTCTGATTGTGGTATTTATATATGATGACCACTTGAGGATGTGAATGATATATGCTTTTTAACCGCATGTGTAATACGGTCACTGATCACGTGATTTGCACTGAATTGTCGCGGGACAAGCAAGTCTGTTACCAGCTCACGACTGCCTGTCTGCAAGTATGTGGTCTCCAGACCCCAAAACGTGAGTTTGTAGCATATAAATATATGCATAGAAGAACAAAACATTCCTGCTGACAATAATTCTTGTACATTGAAAGATTTATTAATGTCAAATACCTTCGATTCTGTTATCGAACTGACCAGAACCGGAGTAACCTCCCTTATTTGACCTAGTTTTAAGACACCTCTTGTACACAGCTCTATTGTACACAGCTCTCTTGTATACATACATTTCTCTATAGAATTAAAACCAGATGTTATGAAGATAGTGATACAGCGGCCATTTCCTCAATACTTATTTACTAGAGGATGGATTTGACTTGTGGTAACGCCTTTTTTCAGCTTTTATGTTTTCAGATTTCTTTTATTATCTTGTTTTCTCCAAAAAAATGATAAACATTCATATCAGTAGGCATTTGCGTTATAATACCAGTACACACATTATGAAGCAATATGGGTGATAAGATAAGAATGGCTTTAGCCAATTGTAGAGAAAGACAAAACGTAAAGAAATATTGAACCGTTGGCGTAAAAGAAAGTTTTCAATTATATGTCTGCAAGATATTCATATTTCCAAGGAAGATGAAACTACTATGAGAAATGAATGAGATCTTCAAAGCATTATAGCACCATATAAATCAAATGCAAGAGGGGTCGCTATTTTATTTAACAATAATTTGGAAGTAAGTATCCACAAATTCATGACTGACAACAGTGGAAACTATATAAAAGCAGATGTAACTATAGAAGGAATAAGAATCACATTGACTAATATATATGGTCCTAATCAAGATCAACCTGATTTTTATAATGCATTATTTCATAAAATTGATGAATTTGAAAATGAATCTCTCATAATATGCGGAGACTTGAACTTAGTTCTTAATCCTTCCATAGATTTAGAACATTATAAAAATATCAATAATCCAAAAGCAAGAAAAATAGTGTTAGATAATATAGAAAAGTATGATTTGACATACATTTGGAGGGAGAGAAATTATGATGTAAATGTCGCGGGTTCTGGTCTTGAGATGTCCCAAGGACAATAATTGATGAGACGGGGAACATCGCCTACGATATGAACCAGTTTATTGCCTGTGAAATACGAACATTAAAACATGAGAAATATGTTGTGTGCGTCCCTCGACATGGTCGGATGGTGACATGAAAGTCTTGTATATATCTTATATGAATACATCTGCAATAAACAATACAGTTATAGATATAAGATTGGTATATAATAGTTATGCTATAATTGTATAATTGATAAAATATATATGACATCACGCATAAACGTTTCGTCCGGGATATTTACAATTGATGTGACGTCACGCATTAGCGATCAGTCAAAATTACATAAAACTGATGATTTGGTATACTGTAAATATAAAATCATAATAATTGATCATTCACAACACAGTCTTACATGCAATACTAGTGCTTTAAGTTAGTAAGTGATCCACGCGAGAGAAAGTTTACATTACGCGGTCCGATTAATTACTAACTTAAGATATATGTTATTACTATGTTGATGACAATAATATATATACTAGCAATGATATAGATGTGGAAAGAATATATGTAGAGAGGGTGCTTACCTGTGAAATACGAACATTACAACATGAGAAATATGTTGTGTGCGTCCGACATGGTCGGATGGTGACATGAAAGTGTCACACGTCACAGGCATGAAACGCACGAGATTTGGCGGGTTAGCCGAATACGGATGGCACGTACAACTCTCTACACATAGCCAGTGGAGAAGCAGCCCTCTGGTGAAATAAAAGGGAAATAGAAGGCTGTCGGCGACATAAAGAAATACACATGATGGAAAAGAAACCCTAAACAACAGTCCAGACTTATGTAACTCTGATGGACTACTATCTTTTGATGACTTTAAGAATAGATTTAAAGTTAAAGGTACCTTTTTGGATTACAATAGAGTTTTGAGTAGTATTCCCAATACATGGAAAGCCACATTAAATGACTATAAACTAGAAAATCAAAATCTTGGTATTAATGAAGCGATATTAACTCTGCTTACACCTTCAAAAGGCTGTAGAATATTTTACGACAAATTGATCAAATCAGATAGATTGCCTGATGTGTGTAGAAAATGGGAAGTTGTGATAAATATTGCTATACCCTGGGACGCTATTTTCTTAAATTATAGAAAATGTACTAAGGATATTAAACTCTTGGATTTTCAGTACAGATTCATTCACAAAGCTATCTACACAAGAAAAGAACTAGTAAAGATGAAAATAATTGATAATGATCACTGTATATTCTGTAAAAAAGAATCTGAGGACATTGTACATGTGTATGTTTCATGTGATATTGTCCAGACTTTTTGGAATGACTTAAGTACATATATTAAAAACACTGTTAATATTAATATCCTATTTACAAAATTTACTATATTACTGGGGATTAACACTGGCTACCTTTTTATTGATAATATCATTCTTGCCGGAAAAGATTCATATATTTATCTAGTATTAATGATAGAAAACCATCCTTGGACACATTTCTAAACTCACTAAAAACAATTCTATCAATTGAAAGATATATAGCCAAAAAATAATAACATGACAAAGTTCAGAGAAATGGCCCAAGGAATTGAAACTGTAGTATTCTTCTTAGATAAATATATGATACAATACCTACTATAAAGTGCTAATAACTACTATAAAAAAGCTCTACTCCTATTATATTATATCTAGCTATACTGTGTGCTATGAACTGAAATAACATCTCAAATTAAAATACTTATTTATATAAGTGTAGCATGCCTATATACAGTATTGTTCTGGCCGGATTAAATTGTTACTAGGTCATACGGATATTTCATTACACTATTTTTTTGTATAATGATTTTCCATGAAAATCAAGTGTAATATGTGTTAGCTCAAGACTATACCCTCTTAATATTTGATGCATATGTCATGCTTGTTTTACTATTTCACTAAATGATACTCAAATATCACCATGTATGCTTCACTGAAAGTTTGTCTTACTACATCACCAAATGATACTTAAATATCAACCCTGCACGCTTCTCTGAAATGCTTGTCTATTACTGTTTTCATCAAGTGTCCTTATGCCATCCTATATCCTCTTAGTAGTTGATCCATATGTCATGATTGTTTTACTATTACACCAAATGATACTCAAATACTACCATGTATGCTTCACTGAAAAGCGTGTCTTACTACTTCACCAAATGATACTTAAATATCACCCTGCATGCTTCATTGAGATGTTTGTCTACTACTGTATTTCGTCAAATGTCATTATACCATCCTGTATGCTCCACTGGAATGAATAAAAATTAAAAAAAAAACAAAAAAAAAAAAAAAAACAGTCCAGACTTGATTTCTTTTTAGTTTCTCAAGATTTAGCAAACATGACAACTGACTATTCAATACTTCCAGGATATAAATCTGATCATTCAGCAATTACCATGTCTTTTTCTAATCAATTTAATAAGGAACATGGTGGTGGATACTGGAAACTAAATACATCATTACTTTATAACGAAGAATATGTAAACACAGTCAAGGATATGCTTTTTGAAACAAAATTAGAATACTGTAACTGCACTGAGGATGAACTAGGTGATATTGAAGATTCTAAACTACAACTTAATATAAGCGACACTTTGTTCTTAGAAACATTTTTAATGAAAGTAAGGGGGAAAACAATATCATTCTCTTCCTGCTTAAAAAAAAATCAAAACTGAAAAAAGCAAGAATTTAGAAGGAAACATTTTGGCAATGGAAGAAGAAATCAGAGAAAATTTCCAAACCATTTGTGAAACTAAACTTTCTGAACTATCCAAATGTAAATTAGAGTTTGAAAAATTGAAAGAAGATGAAATAAGAGGTGTACAGATAAGAAATAGAATTCAGTGGTACGAGGAAGGAGAAAAACCAACCAACTATTTCTGTCATCTCGAAAATAGAAATTATACCAGTAAGCTTATGAATAGTGTTATCAATGACAAAGGGGAAGTAATATCAGATGGTAAGGCTATATTAAATGAACAAAGGCAATTTTATGAAAATCTATACTCATCAGGTGGTAAAATAACAGATAGATATATTAATATATTTGATGATATTATTACAACCAAACTGCACACTGTACAGGCTGAAAATCTTGAGGGTGATATTACTATAGATGAAATAACACGAGCCGTTAAATCAATGAAAAATAACAAAAGCCAAGGTGTAGATGGTTTCCCAATAGAATTTTTAAAAGTTTTCCTGGAAAGATCTTCATATTTGGGTTGGTAGATATATATCAGAAGCATTCAGGCAAAATATGTTAAGTCCAACAATAAACAGAGGCGTCATCACATGTATTCCAAAAGCTAACAAAAATAGACAGTTGTTAAAAAACTGGTGCTCAATTTCCCTACTGCATTCTTTGTATAAAATACTCAGCACATGTATAGCCAGTGGAATTAAAAACAAGAAAAAATTGTGTCCAGGGACACGGATGCTCCTGCTGACATTCATAAGACATATAAAGATCAATAATTGAACAAAATTCATGAACAAGTTCAATAAACATCTATGCAACTATGACATGCACACCTTGCGAGTCTCAATGAAACACATGTATAAGCTTAATCAATTCTGATGAGCAGTTTTTGTGGAGAAGTTGATAGACTTCATCCCCTATAACACTATATTCAGAGAGAAATTCAACAAAATTTATGCAAGTTTAACCGGCATTAAAATTGGAAAAATAAATAAAATACAAAATCAAAATATGAGATGCACACCTTTAGAGTCCCTATAAAGCACATGTGTAATCTAAATGAATTCCATAAAGTAGTTTTTGAGAAGTGAGTGGATAACGTACACCCCCTGTTGTATGGGACAAACTGGATGAATAGAACCAAATTCAACTAAGTTCAAACATCGGTAGAAGTGACAAAATTAAGAAATTTGATGAACAAGGTATGAGATGCACACCTTTGGAGTTCCAATGAAACACACGTTGAAGCTCAATCAATTCTGTTGAGCAGCTTTTGTGGAGGAGTGGATAGATTTCACCCCCTACAACACTATATTCAGAGAGAAATTCAACAAAATTGATCTAAGTTCAAATGGCATTAAAATTGGAAAAATGAATAAAATACAAAATCAAAATATGAGATGCACGCCTTTAGACTCCCTATAAAGCACAAGTGTAATCTAAAAGAATTCCATAAAGTAGTTTTGAGGAGAAGTGGATAGCGATTACAGACCCCTGTTGGATGGAGCGAACACTGGCTGAATAGAACAAAATTCAACTAAGTTCAAACATCTGTAAAAGTGACAAAATTAAGAAATTGCTTAAAAAATTATGAAATGCACACCTTTAGAGTCCCTACAAAAGACATGTAGAAGTTCATTCAATTCTGTTGAGCAGTTTTTGTGGAGAAGTGGATAGACTTCATCCCCTATTACACTATCATCATAGAGAAATTCAGCAAAATGTACCTAAGTTCAAATGTCTCTAATCTTACAAAAAGACCCAATAAAATAAAAAAACTAAATATGAGATGCACACCATTAGAGTCCCAAGAAAGCCCATGTATAAGTTCATTGAATTCCAAAGAGCGGTTATGGTGGAGAAATGGATAGAATACATTCCCTGTTTCGTACGGACAGACGGACACCGAGGGTAACCCTATATGCCCCTGCCATATTTATGGCGGGGGCATAAAAACATTGAATACTCTTATTCATGAAACTCAGACAGGTTTTATATCACAATTTTTTGACAGTGAAAGGGGCTGTAGACAAGGGGACCCAGTATCTCCCTATATATTCATCTTAGTGGCTGAAATTTTAAGAATAATGATCCGTAACAACACTGCAATAAAATGAATTACATTGAATAACACTGAACATAAAATTGGACAGTATGCAGATGATACTGAATTATTTCTCGATGGGCTTGAAGAAAGTTTAAGGGCAGCAACTGACACTCTCAATAATTTCTACAAAATGTCTGGTTTAAGAATAAATATAGATAAAACGAAAGCAGTGTGGATAGGCTCAATGGCAGGTAATAACATGATTTTATGCCAGGATCTTAAGCTTGATTGGCATAATGGGGATTTTGATATTCTAGGAATAAGACTTAATCCTAATTTAAATAACCTTTGGGTAATTAATACAAGAAAAATAGAACTCTAGGGAATTGGAGGAAAAGAAAGTTGACATTAATAGGGAAAATAACTGTTATTAAAACTTTAGCACTTTCATCATTGGTGCATATATTCACTTCACTCCCAATCTCCAATTCACTGACAAATTAAACAATATATTTTATAAATTCATCTGGAATGATAAGCGGGATAAGATAAAGCGAACGACACTTATTAGAAAATATGAAGAGGGGGGACTCAGAATGGTTAATGTACAGGTATTCATTAACTCTTTAAAACTCTCAGTTTTACATAAATATCTTCAAAATAATAGCAGTTCTAGTCCTAGTATCTTTCCATTTAAAGATATATTTCTGCTTGGAGCCAATATTGAAAATTATGTCAGTATCATGAATCCCTATTGGAAAGATGTATTGGCTGCATGGGGAATATTCTATAAAACATATAAAACTGATTTTACAGATATTGATCAAATCTTATCCCAACCCCTTTGGTTCAATCACCAATTCCAAAATAGTAATTTCATTATAAGACATTGGCATCTCAAAGGTATTCACTCTATAAGAGACTTGTGTAATGATCAAGGTATTTTGCCATTTAGTGAACTTAAAGGTCACATGCAACCAAAAAAATCAAACATAATTAAAACACAATTATCACTTATTCATGACATATAATATACATTGCTGGTTATGAAAAAACATATAAACAAAATTATAAGCGTACAATCGCAAATCAAAAGTGCAATATTGTGTACTTGGGTTTACTTCCCTAGAAACGAAGCAGCCGGGATACCGAACCCATTCAGAGCGGGTGGGTGTGCACTCAAGTGTAACGACTGGTTCATTTGCAGATGCCCTCACGGGCTCATTGTGTGTGTATATATAGAGATGTTGGGTTTTGTAAATACATGCTCATTTTTTGTGTATAACAGTTTGCAATCAACAGACATCATAACATGTCATGTGTTCAAGTATCACACCTGCCTGTCTGTGTAATTACATAATGTGACAGAGACCGAACTCGGGCCATAAATCAATGCATGGTGTATAGCCTGATTGGTGTTAAGTTCAAATTGCATGTGGTCAGTGATCGCAGTTGTGTATTGAATATTGTCATTAGCAGACAGGCAGGCAGACACACAGGTGTCAATAAAACAAGACATTGAGTTTTGTCTGTGACAACGACATATCTATATCACAGTTAGAAATTCTGTCAACGCCAAATAGAGACATTGAAATCATATAAACAGTTTATTTACTGTCATAACATATAAAAAGCTCGCACCTGTGAGATATCAACAAAACATTAGAAAAATAGCTCACACCAAAGGTTTCACCGAGTATTCACCGGACAACCCGCTTCCAAGATGCGCGAACCTATTTCACTGCGCACGTGCTATGAGCGCAGTCCAGCTGTTGAAACCAGTTTTCCCCCAAAAAGTCGGGGGAAAATTAGTGAAACGTTTGAACTCCGATTTCGCGTGGTTTTTTTCATAGCGTTATTTTTCAACTTTATAAGTTGAATTTGCATTTTTGACGATTTGTTTCGGTAAGTCCATACCGAAAGGTATCAGAATCTGCAAAGTTGTGTTTTACGTTGCATGTGACCTTTAAGAAAACTTACAAAATTAAAGGCACAATTCTTGACTATTATCAGGTTCTTTCAAATATACCGAAAAAAATGGAAAGAAACTATAAGAAAGAATTTATTGATTGTTCATAATCATTATCTTAACACATCACTGATAGATTTACTTTCAGCACCAAAGAGATGGTTTAAACATATTTATTTCCAAAAAAAAGAACCGGATTGGTAAACAAGCAGTATGGTGCTTATATGAATACCGCTTCGGAATACAGATATATTATAGATATAATAATCGTACGGAGAAAAACATGATATTAACAAACGATAAACAATAGCTTTCTGGGAATGTAACAATCATAAACTGTAACATAGCCGCCTTTAACGTTAGAACCATTAGTGTCGGAAAATACTTAATAGTAAGTGCAATTTCGTTATAGAAGATGTACAAAAGATACTAAATTGATTGACTTCCACTTCAAATTTATCCACAATATTGTCTAGACAAAGAAAGAATTATTGAGAATGAAATTAGTAGATGATGAAGTTTGTTCATTTTGTAATTTAATGTCAGAAAATTTGATACATGTTTATTGGGAATGTGAGTGTGTGAAAACGTTCTGGCTGAAACTGAAAGAATATATTGAAGATAAATCATCAGAAAATTTTACCCTGACAAAATATACAGTCTTAATTGGCGGAAATAATAACGACCTTATGAATCACATACTTCTTGCCAGTAAAAAATATATCCATATATCAAGTATTAAAAAAATAAGTTATCACTGGATACATTTGTAAAAATATTGAGTGATATTTTCAAGACAGAAAAGTTAATTGCCAGTAAGAATCAAAACATATTACAATTTGTCAGAAAATGGTCATCTCTACTGCACACATTCCCAGCCTAATGAAGATCCCAATATGTGTAATGCAAACCCATATGAATTTCTGTTGTTGCATCATGTACTTTGTATACTTGTATCTACTGATTTTGAATGAAAAAAAACAAAACCAAAAAAAATATCTGGTTTTCCAATATAACATGGCTAATGAGTTTTGAAGTTTTACATTTATTGCTTAAAAGGGGCCAACAAGCCACAAAACATCTTTCATTTCTGATTTGCAAATGTAAAGTAATTTGTAGCTAAAAATTCATTATGATAATATGAATTATATTATGCTGACTTGAAGCTCTACTACAAAACATAGTTGCACTACAAATTCCAGACATAAACAGATAAATCAATTTTAATTAAATAAGGAAAATGATAATGCTATGGCATGGACATTGGAATTAAATTTGCATTGAAAATTTAGATACAAACAACATTAAACCAGAAACATTTCACTGCCTCCACAAAATCTGTCCTTACCATAACAAAACCTATGATAACGGCAGTGACCGTAACGGTAGTGACAGCCACTAACAATATATCAGTTTTAAAACAATAACTGATTCCCAAAGTTTACTGAGCACATGATTTCAAATGATTTCCCCTACTGTCTAAGTTATTTGGCATTGTTTGGCTTCACAAAATTAATTGGTTTCAGTGGTAGCCACTGTAACGGTTAGGACATGCAAAAATTTTAGATATCATTTTGTACACACCTTTTTTTACGATAAAATTCAGAAAAATGATTTTTTTGTGTCAGTGTTTGACTGTTATGCTTCATCACTGCCATTGCTTGCATACATGAAGTAGAATTAGAAGATAGTACAGGGAGTAATCATTATTGCAATTTTTTGGATGATGTTACGGTAGTGACATGAAACCTTGTGACAAAGTTTGACTTATTTTTACAAAATGTTTTTCCATACTAAAAAGGCCAAACCACGCCAAGCATGTAGCTGTAACATCATTAATTATGATATGTGTAAAACGTTCTCTTGGAAAACATGAAAAATCAAATTGCACATCGACCACTGGAGTTGTGACACATGAAAATTGAGTAAAAGTGGGTGGTTTGGGGGGTTCAAAATAGATATAAAATATTTTTCTCCAATTTTGTCACTGTAAAGTTTAGAACAAACTGAGATAAATTAGTTACCATAATTGTTTTTTTTATATTTTGACTTAAGTTTGTTGGGTACAAACATATAACATAAATATGCACGAATTTTGAGAATGACTTGTATGCATCAGTCAATGCATGTATCAGATCAGACAAAGGTATTACTGATTGTTTTACAACTTCAAGTGGTGTTAGACAAGGGTGTGTTCTCAGCCCAGTTTTAATTATATTTTTCTTCAATGAACTTGTATCTGATATGTATAGTGAATGTGATCATGGTGTATTTGTCTCTCAGGAAATAGTATATATAATGCTTCTTCTTTTTGCAGATGATATTGCTTTGTTATCTTACAGTAAGTGGCTTACAGAAACAATTACATGTATTACAGTCTTATTGTTCCATATGGGGCTTAACCGTGAACTTAGATAAATCTAATATGATTGTTTTAGAAATGGTGGTATTGTAAATAGATTTGAAAAATGACATATTGTAAAACAACAAGGAAAATAGTTTCATGTTATAAATATTTAGGATTGATGATGTCTTCTAGACTAGTATGGTCTACAGCATGTAAGCAGTTAAGCAATAAAATGCCTGTTTATAATTTGTTCAAGCAAAATGATTTTATATCATTTAATGTAGCTTCTTCTATTTTTGATAATAAGATTGCACCCTTTCTATTATATGGTTCTGACATTTGGGGTGTAAAATACTATGACTCTATGGAGAAAATACAAACTTCATATTTTAAGAAATACTTAGGTGTCGGTAAATATGCTTCCAACAAAGCGATAATTGGCGAAACAGGTAGATATTCTATTTTTGTTTCAACACAGTTAAAACAATTAGATGACAAAGGTAAAATAGCTGGGTGATATTAGGAATATTCTTTTCATGTGTGGGTTCTCTTATGTTTGGATATCACAGGATGTCGGACATAAAAAGATGTTTAATTTCATTCTTAAACAAAGACTGAAAGATTGGCATTGTTATGTACATTCATCAAAATATCTTTCTCATTATGCTCTTGTAAAATCGTTATTAGAGCCAGAAATATATTTAAATGTATTACATGACAAATCTTTGAGAAGAGCTATTTGTTAACTCAGAATCTCCTTGCATGATTTCAATGTAAACTCTGAGCGTAAAAGTAAAAATTGAAATCCAAGTGAAATTAAATGTTTAAAATGTAATAGCAACCAGGTCGAAGATGAATATCATGTGTAATTTGTGTGTAAGCACTGTCGAGACCTGCGAAATAAATATCTTCCAAACTTATGAAAGTCTGTAGGAAGGAAACCTGTTTCTTATCTCGAGAGGAATTCCCTGAGTAGGAATTCCACATACTCTGTAAATAAAGTTTACATTTAATTAGAGACATTGTGTAACACCTTCAGTATATTTTGTCTTGCAACCATAATACTAATTTTCTTTTAAATCTGCACTAATAAAGTAAGTACTTTTGTCTTTACAAAGGCTGAGAGGGAAAATAGATATGATGATAAGAATAAAACAATGTCCTT